CGACAATTCTGCGGTTGCATTCTGAAACGATTCCGTCACGAATAATTATTGAAATGGCTATGAATAATTAATCAACGCTTATCTTCGACTTGCACGTTCTCGAAATTCATGGTCACGCCGCGTGTTAGGTAAATTAACAAAGAGTTCGCTTATAACAATAATTAATCATGTTCAATCAGGGCTACGATGACATTTTGCTCACTAAAATGTTGTTAGTTTGAATATTCAATCTTCCAATTTAATACAGAAAATTAATTTCTCGATGAATAATAATAGCGAAGAAGCGTTAAACAAATCCCAATAAAAAGAACGGAATATTCAAATTTCGCAACGGAATGGTTTCGTGGTGCAAGAAATGTTTAACAGGTGTTACTTTAACATCCTGCCTCATTTACCGTCAATGCAAAGTCAGTCACCCTAAACAGGTCATGCGCATCTGTATCGCAGCTATTTGTCAGATACTCCGCCATGCATTTTTTAGGCATCGAAATTGTTCCAAGTGCACTTCCGATCGCCCTACTAAGATCGATGTTTAAACAGGAATATTTACCATTTTATTACATTAAAGTATCAACATAGTAATGAATCGCACAAACTACTTTGAAATTTGGTGTTTTAACTATATGTGCACTCTCAGATTATGTGACTGAGGGAAGATTAAAACTTGTATGGTTTTTCTTCATAAATAAATGGTAAGTTTATCTTGGAAAGGCGCAGAATTAATTTTCAGACTTAATACTTCAAACGAAAACTTCAATCGCTACCTTAGAATAAACTAGAACAATCCAATCTAACTTATCCAAACCCCTGTACCTATCTCTGAAAGACAATTCCTCTCGAACTTTCTTCGTCTAGAGTCATAGAAAATCACCCTTTGGCCGCGAGTCACGTCAGTTAATTACCTGCGATCGCGCAGATCGCAGAAGTCGCGCTAATTAATCACGCGCGTTTCTCGGAAGAAACGAAATCATCGATGCTTGACACATGCCCGCACAATCATGGACCGCGCAGAATAACCCAGCGATCTCGATTCGATCGCGAGCTTCGATCGATCTAGCCGTGACTTTGAACCTCGCGTGGAAATTCCTGGCTTCAAACGAACAAACCCGCGGCGACGAGATCACCCATGCGTGCATCCTACTCGTGCTCTATTCGCATAAAATAGGGGCCTAACTGTGACCCACTAGAGCAGAGGTTCCCAAACTTTGGCTAGAAAATTCAGAAATTACCATTATTCTTAGCAGACAAATTTGAGCCGTTCAATATTGATTAACTCCACAAAACAACAAGTTGAGAAATACCTTCTGAAACAAATTATTTACTATTTAATGGTCAACAAAATTTTGTCGTTCAATGGTGTTGATCTTTATCATTCAGGAAACTTATTATAAATATAAAAAGTTATAGCAAGTGATTTGACACTTACTTTTAAGATTTTTCTAAAAGTGGAGTTAATCGATTCGTCTAGTGAACGGCTCGTTTCAGAACGCGAATCTTCTCGTTAATTGGCTTCCGCTATAGCTCGGAGGTGCTCATAGGGTTAACAAAAAACATTGAAAGCATTTCTAATCAGACAAATTTGGGAATCCCTGTGTCAAAGCGTTGGTGGAACGATCGAGATGGAACGACCTCGGTCACAATTGTTTTGTAACCCGAGTCTATAGACCAACACGGTTTGTTAGTCATTAAATGTTTCGTCGCCTGTTTCGACGAGCAAACAGGGTGCAAAAGGATTTCAGCTTCGACGAACGCACGCGCTTTTCAGAAACGAAGCCATGAAACACAAAAAAAAATTCAATGAACCCGCATTCACAGGCGAAACATCTAAATTCCAAGACAGACAAAATTCGTGCGAACAACGCAAACTAAAAACACTCACCCAAGAACACCCAAGAACACGTATAATAATCTTCGGAGGCGACTCAAACACGCACAAACGTACCATCTTCCGCGATCCACGCGTTTAAAAATAAACAGTTGCACAACGAACAAAACGCTCCAACAATAATTGCTACACACGAGAACAATTGTTACATAAATGAAGGTTGCAAAACGACGAACATGTTCTCCATAAAAATGATCAATTATGGAAACATCACCTTTGTTTCAAATTCTACGTCCTGCATTTTTCACGTCGCAAATATTTTTGTCTTGTTTTTTTCATACACCGTCATCGTTTCTGCGCAGGGTCGAGATGGCGCGTGAAGAAACTGACGTACAAGATCAGCAAGTATCCGCGAAATTTGCCGCAGCATAAAGTCGACACCGAGCTGAACAAAGCGTTCAAAGTGTGGTCGGAATACACTGATCTCACCTTCATCCAAAAGAAATCTGGCCAGGTGAGTCGAGTGACAATCGTAACGCGAGTCAGAAATTGTTTTCTCCGGGGAGGAAAAAAGAGAAGAAACGGAGTTCACAGAAGATTTGCACAGAAGCTTTTTTGTGAAAGCGATACTGGTCTTTCTTGGCTCGCTTCTATACGGTGTGCCAAGTAAATGTACCAAGTCATCATTCCATTTGTAATATTAACATTCTATAAGTCAGTGTAACTTTCAGGTCACACGCTAATATATGGACATTTTACCAAATAATTTCAATTCCCTCACAAGATAGGTTTATGACTTGTTACACATGCTTAGTCCACCCTGCATAAACAGTATGATGTCTCTGCAGTGAACTGTGACATCCACATTGCATACGTTTTGTCACATGAAAAGCTTCAGTGAAATCTAAAACACAAAAGTTGATATAATGTTACTCGTATCTCTGAAATATCATTTGTTTTCCATAGGTCCACATCGAAATTAGGTTCGAGAAGGGCGAACACGGTGACGGAGATCCCTTCGACGGACCTGGTGGCACTCTGGCTCACGCTTACTTCCCTGTTTACGGTGGCGATGCCCATTTCGACGACGCTGAACAATGGACCATCGACAGCTACCGCGGTACCAATCTCTTTCAAGTCGCTGCCCACGAGTTTGGACATTCCCTTGGTTTGAGTCACAGCGATGTCAAGACCGCCCTTATGGCACCCTTCTATCGCGGCTACGAGCCCTACTTCCGGTTGGACGACGACGACATTCAGGGTATTCAGGTAGGCAAACGTGAATACCAATTTTTAACGCGTTCATCGCCACTTCACTCACATATGAATATCAGGGCTTTTAACTACGGAACTAAATAACATAATTTTGAAGATAAGATGTTAAAGACGATAAATCTGGTTGCGAATGATGAATTTCGATAAAGTTTTAAAAATAAATACTACGACGAACGTTAGATTAATAGGTTTCGATTGTCTCGAAACTAAATTTAATTCTTACAGAAATGTTGAGAAATATCCATGTGGCGATCAATGTGTCAAATAAGTCCTACGCGATTACAACAGTAGCCTCATGGTAGGATGCACAGGTAGACATACGATACTAAATTTTGAGAAGAAAAATTCTATGGTCCATTCATCGAAAGCATTCATGTTTGAAATGGTAAAAACCTTGACGGAACGAGTACTAATTTACATTGGTTCACTGCAGGCTTTGTACGGAAAGAAGTCAGTGAATGCTGGGGGAATCCCAACTGGGCCGAAATTCGGAACCACGACTACATCACCGCCTAGCGAGGAAGACTCGGAACTCTGTACGGACCCTAAGGTCGACACGATGTTCAATTCAGCAGAGGGGCACATGTATGCGTTCAAGGGTGCGTATTTGTTCCAATTACTACGAAGAAATATAGATAAATAAATAACAGAATACTTTCCCCGTTGTCATAACGTACTATTAAGTCGTCACAAAAGTTTCTTTCGCGACTCAGTTGTATCGTGTTACTGTGTTCGTATAAACAAACAATCCTATCTCTCAAAAGTTGATGTTATAACAGAGCAAAGTGAACACAATTCATTAATGTAACATAAAACATGAAATGCGCACTTTTAGAAAGAAACTTTTGAGACAACCCATAATACAAATTCATGGAACTGAACGACCCGTGTTCTAAATAATTAATTTATCTTCAGGTGATCGTTACTGGAGATTGACCGCGGACGGTGTAGCAGTTGGCTACCCGAAACTCATTTCTCACTCGTGGAAAGGTCTGCCAGGGAACATAGACGCTGCCTTCACTTATAAAAACGGCAAGACTTACTTCTTCAAGGTAGGAAGCTTGTAAAATACGTGCCATTTTATTGTCGCGCGATATGTACGTGTAGATGAAATAAATAATTGAATTTTTGCAGGGTTCCAAATACTGGAGATACGTGGGCAAGAGGATGGACGGGGATTACCCGAAAGAAATCAGTGAAGGTTTCACAGGAATTCCAGACAACATCGACACCGTGACCGTTTGGACCGGAAACGGCAAGATCTACTTCTACAAGGGCACCAAATTCTGGAGGTTCGACCCTGCGCAGAAGCCACCGGTGAAGAACACATATCCTAAACTGATCTCAAACTGGGAAGGCATCCCAGATAATCTCGACGCGTCGATCGTTTATCGCGGTTACACGTACTTCTTCAAGGGCGACGCTTATTATCGATTCAACGACAGGACATTCTCCGTGAGTACTTTATCTTTCCCCACAAATAAAACATTCACGATTCCACATATGACGAATCACATATTTAACATTAATCTGAGTAAATGTTACTGCAGATAGTGTTCAATATACATAGATTAAAAGCTAGATAAAACACAGCAAGTCATGAGTGATCCATACAATGAGTGAGTTGCAAGGATAAATGGATAACAACTCTTAAATCGCGTGCACATTCCGTGACGAATTTTTTAAGCCGAAAGGTTCGAGAAAATATTTATGCCCACTTACCTTTACTCAGACGACATTGGGAATTTTTCAGATGGACGTTGCCGATCCAGCGTTCCCGAGATCGACAGCCTACTGGTGGTTCGGGTGCAGATCCGCTAACAAGGGAACATTAGGTAATGTCCAATGGCTACGAGAAAATCCTGACGACTCTTTCCCGTATGCTGGCATCCTAGAGTCCGTCGGCGGTGACTTTGATGATGACGATGACAGGGAGGGTGACGTAGGAGACATCATCCTAGACGCAGGTACTAAAGCTTCATTCGAGTCAAACCAGATTCTTAACTCGCCATGAAAAGTTTCAGTATCCACTTCTTTCCGATCTAAACAGTAAAAGCAAACTGTGATAAATGTAAATACTTGACTTGCAATTCATCTTAGTCTCCTTCTTTTGAAGAAGAAATAAAGGGCTAAGGGTTTCAGAAAGATTTATATTCTACTGTTAAGAAGAAAAAAAAAATTTTCATTGGATCTCGCTAGTTATTATGACCTACATTTTAATGTTATTACTTGAATATATTAATGGATAAAAGCATAGTGATGTTTATAGTAGTGGATAACTGGAACTTTGAACTTATTCCACCTCTGTACAGGTATCTGAAGTGGAAAGAAGTGAATAAATGCATAAAAATGGCGAGCATACGGTATTTGATGTCTCGAACACCTGGCTACTACATACCTAGGGCTTCCGTCTATCCAAGACATTTGTGCTATTCTCGTGTTCTATTTAGATTTAATATCATTTTATTATACAGGGTGTCCCAAAACTCGGGGAGGAGCCGGAAATGGGGGGTAGCTGAGACGATTCTGAATAACAATTTCCTTTGCAAAAATGTCGGATGGGGCTTCGTTAAGGAGATATTAAGAGAAAACCCCGACCAATCAGAGCGCGCGTAGACCGTTGGAGCGGCCGCGGTAGCGTAGGCTACGCGCTGGTGGCCGCGGTAGCGTAGGCTACGCGCTGGTGGCCGCGCTTGCACGCGAACAAGTGACTCGACGTGCATCGAAGCATCGACCTAGCGCGTAGCCTTCGCTACCGCGGCCACTCCAACGGTCTACGCGCGCTCTGATTGGTCGGGGTTTTCTCTTAATATCTCCTTAACGAAGCCCCATCCGACATTTTTGCAAAGGAAATTGTTGTTCAGAATCGTCTCAGCTACCCCCCATTTCCGGCTCCTCCCCGAGTTTTGGGACACCCTGTATAATATAAATTCAAAGTAGAATGAAAAACATCGTTAAAAAGACAGTAACAATTCTTAGTACGCCAAGGTTAATAAAGGTTTTCTGCACAAACTTCTTCGATGAATATAAACATCATAAACGCGGTAGTCGATTAATTTGGGTGTTATATGGTGGTGGTGCTAACATTAACCCTTAAATGCTCTAAATTTCAAATTTGATACCGGACTTTTAAGTCGAATTGTACACTTGCAATTGGTTTGTTTTTAATATTTGGCTGTATGTATGTTACCTTGCAAAATGTTCTTTTGAACAAAAGTTAAAAAAGTAAACGTCAGCTGTGAAAATTGTTCAAATAAAAGATGTTGCATCTTAATAAATACATTGATATTTTTTTTGAATTTGATTTGAAAAATCAGGCTTCTAAGGGTTAAGGCCGAGCAATAATTGAAATCGAATTGATCGAGTATCATCGCGGCGCATACGTGTCGTTCAGTTAATTTGCTAACAAGTACGTAAAGTTGCTTCCATACGTCGACAATCCTCTGTTTCTGTTCATTTCCCGTTGGATCATATCGTGCACTACGGCAGTAATACTAACGCAAGTCAAATATTGTTGCTCACTAGTTACTAATGAACGTAAACAAATATTTTACGTTCGACCTAGCATTGGAAGATCGCGTTTTCAAGCAAAAGGGAGTGCATAATACAACACAAAACAGTGTCGAGCACGAATCTATAATATTTTAATTAAAAATATCTGTATCAAGTTATTTTTATCGACATTTAAAGTATGTAATAATATTAAGCAATTTTTATCCACTTCAATTCTAAAATACAGACAGTTATATTCCTGTCAATATGCATAAGAATCATTTTGCTTATTCCGATCCATCAATTACCCCTAGGATGACTTCCATGAAAGTTCTTATTTATCATATATTTATATATTATTATAGTTACTAGACGATAGAAATGGTCGACTATTTTATTGAATAAATATTGCAGAAATTGAAAGTAGAATTAAATGGAAACACCAAAAGTTGTCGTAGAGGTAATTCCAAGCGCGATCACCCTCCCCGTAACTCCCGAGTTTAAATCAAAGTCTTTGAACATATATGTCACCCAGCGAATCTCAGATTCGCACGTTTCTCGTAGCCCCAGAGTATCTACTAGCCAGGCGACGAATGAAGTTTTACATAAAAATAAAAAATACTTACTATACTATACTTGTATCCGAAACACCGGACATGAGAAAGGGCTAATGCCTGAAATACCATCAGTCACCGTCGCCGGGCCCAGTTTGCTGAAAAACAGTAAATATTACAACGTTAAGCTTTCCTTGTGTTTCGGCACATACCTCCTTTTAATTGTTTCGTGTCGCTTATTCGCGAGATTGTACTCGACTATAAACAATCTCGCAATCTAGCGTATTTCTTTTCTTACTTGTGTTGTGCTCTTGTCTCTCTGTCCTTGTTCTGTCTTCTTCTGGCTGTTCCGTATCCCGTACGTCCTCGTCCAATGTAAACAGATCAGCTCCTCAATGTGACCATTCCTAACGTTCATCTACGGGGTGGGATTATCGCTATTCGCACTGCGACACAGATTAACTCCATTGAATGTCTCCCTCTCTGACTAACGCTCTTCGTTTAACAGCACTGTATCGCTTAAAAATGCAACGAAAAAAATATGCTACATTTTTTGCTATCATAATAAAGAGTTATACGTTCACCGATAGTATTGCACGAATTTTCACATACACGCGAGAAGGATGTATTACTGCACGAAAAACGTGTGCATAACACGCACGCGTACACGCACGTATCTCTACACGAGTGTGAAATAAAAGAGGTGCATGGTAAAATTGTACGGAAAACGGTTACGTTGTTTGGAACTTAATCTACCGTAGGACAGAGTCTCTCAGTCTCTCCCTCCCTTGACTATCCTTCGAACCAAAATGATTAAAACCAACCTTCATCACCAGGCGTTCCATGTATTCTTTTATTTCTTCGCACTCCCTTCGATGACTTTCTTTTGTTTGAGACTTTCCAACCCATTTCCATTTTCACGGTGCACGTACTTTTTGGTTACTTCTCTTGGATTCCCCCGGTCTCTCTTTGCACCCACTCTTTGTTTCGGATGGTTTCATTTGGTGAGGTTTGCGTGGGAGCTGGAATTTTGGAACATTCCTCTATTCTTATACGAATTTTAGAGAATTTTCTATTCTTGTAATTTGGTTCTCTTCTTACAACACTATTATACATTGCCCACACGAAGCGTCGTTACATGTTGTTCCAAACAACTTAAAGACAGTAAAAAGAATTATTCTTTTATACTTTAATATTCACTGAGGCTTCTGTTTCTTTAGCGAAATAATATATACATATATGAATTTTATTCGCAAGATTTTATTCTAGAAAAATTCTTGTTCTCGAATTTTATAGGCAAACATGTTTATTAAATTTATTTTAATTAATTAAAAATGTAATGGCTACCGTTTATATAAGTAATACATATACACATAACTTCTGTGAATCTTAAGGTAAAAAGAGAAAATTTGTTCGCCATCTTTAATATTGTTCATGAAATAGCTAATGACAGTTACGCTGGTCTTGTATAATCTAATCAAAAGATGTTTAATAAGAGCTCCTTTCGTGGATTCAGACTCTTATTAGACATTTCTTCTTTATTTTTAGTATAATTATTCGTACAAGTCTGACTTTCTTTGATGTACACTATTGTTTCGAATTTTCCAATAATTTATTTTCTTTCAAGTTTACCAATCCATTTATTCGATACTAATTCGCGATGAGAATTGGAGAAAAAATAACGTTTCACATCGAGAATCTGTTGAAATTTTGAATACATTTGGCAACTATACGAAGGAAAGAAAATATCAAATGGCACAGAAATCTCAAGACCTAACGTACGATAATGTATTACAATTATCCACACTTACCTAAACGAAATGCACTGTCAATGTTAACATGGGTCTTCTTTCGATCACCAAGGGTTTCAACAATGTTTTCACAGTTCATCTGTCGACGCTTGATGTCGTCGTCATTTCCTCTTCATCGACACGTCTAATATAACTGATTTGAAGTCTACAATGTTCAATACGAGACAGAAAGTATGGACAAAACGACGTCACAGGAATACCGTACTAATATTCAAATAGCCCACGTGCGCCGGAACACCTCTGAAGGTCTTACACGCTGCACATCTCGGAACGAACTGGCGTTGATAAGTCTATCGCGCATCTAGTTCGCGCACATCCCTACTTCTCATCTGACCGCGCCGAAAGTCCTGTGACGTCACACATACTATTCGTTTTGTATTATACGAAATTTCTATTTGATACATACAATTTATTTCAATGAATAAAACGATGATTTGAGTAGAATATCTTAAATTTCCAGTAGGTTATATTGGAAGTATCGACAAATAATGTCGATAAAAATTATGTTGTGAACGCATAAAATTAATTGTTGTCGAATTATTGATGGTTGAAAGTAAAACTTGTTAACATCGCAGTAAAATATACACTGACAGGCTAACTTATTATATTATCCTACACGAAAATTTTCAAAATTAAAAAATCAGGAAAATAATGTCTTTTTTTGTAATTGAGTGAAAATTTAGTCGAAAAGCTTCTATATTTCGGCGTTTCATACAAAGGTCGGAGTAAATTGATTAAATTTGCACTTAGTCGCTAAGAAAACGATCGTAGTCGTTCTGATTTTTTAATATCGAAACCGACAGATCACGAACGAAACACGGTCTACGAGAATTACGTTTTCACGAGCAGATGAAAATCGCGGTGTCATTAACTCGGAAAAAAACTCGCTTTTTCCAGAAGACAACACTCTACACTCGGGATCGCGCGGGTTTGGGAAAAAGTGAATGAACGAGAATGAAAAACTTGTTCGTTCAGAGGAATCATTGCGTTGTAAATCTTGGGTTAGATGGCAGCAAAATGGAACAACAAATTTTCAAGGGAAAAACTAATCTTTTTAAGCAAAAAAAAGACGACACTTACGAGGCAGGTTCACGAAGCGGACCTTAGCGGGAAAACTGATCCAAAGCAAAGTAAAATAAGTTCCAAACAACAACGAGACTGCAATTTGTAACCTACGGTATGTCACCTCCGTTGTTTCACGCGCGAAACTGTGCAAGCGCGACCGACGCAGTGAACCATCCAATCAGCGACGATTCGCTTAGCTCTTATTGGCCCCTTCCTACGATTCTTTTATACGATTCGACAGGCGAGACGGACGAGCAGCTAGTCACGTCTTCCAATCAGGACGCGGGTTCAACGGCGGGAAGCGTTTTCAAATCGTCGTCGATGTGGTGGCACTTTTTGCTCAGTTTGATGACCATGATCGTCGCTAGAATAATCGCCACCACGTAAAACTTCTCAGGCGGAGATTATTGAGCGATGAAAGGAACATTTGAACTGACCTTTTAAACAGGGAAAAGCGTGGCTTCAAACGTGTGCCGAGCACGAAAAAGAATAAAAAAAAAAAACCACAGTGCCAAAATGGCAACGTGCTAGTTTATGCTCACCAATCGTGAGGACTAATTCTTTCAGGGTTCGACGAACGCATCGCCCTGTCTTAATCTCACGTGAAACAATCATTCCAGTTGAAGCAACATTCCATGAATATCGTTTTGAGAAATTTTGCTTCATCGTAGCTGTTAAGTGTTTCGCAGCGTGTCTTGCGAGGTGCGATTCGCGCAACTATTTTTCAGTTTCATTATTAATCGATGGATACGACGCACCTTGCAAGACATCCTGTACATATGTAAAGTATATAAGTATATGTAAAATATGTTTATACATAATGTTACGTGTAATAAGTCGCATGCAATAATGTGTCATCAAACCTTTTACACTGCCTATTTATTCTTTATTCGTAAATCATGGTTTGTACAGACGTTAACGTCAAAGGCACTTATTTTGCGCGTTCATGCAGAATATATGATTAAAGGAGGATGAAGGTTTGTTGGACATGACAAATAGCGAATAAAGAAAACGGTCAATTGGTTCTTCGACTGACAATATTATGAGTATTATAGAGTTTCATAAAAAAATATATCTATAGTACTCATGGTAGTGACTACATAAAAGAGAAATATTTATCTTCCGTACAAGTGCCTTAAAATGTCTTCAAAACGTTGTAATAAAATGTAGCTTTTTTGTATAAATATCTACAATTTGTTATTATCACAGTTTGTTATTTAAAGCCAATTGCTGTAACTATTTTTTTCACTTTCATCTACATGGACAATCTTTTACTTATAAATTCTTATTTTAGACATACTGTTCTCCATTTTATTCGATAAGCTTCTTTTCATTCCTATGGTGTGTTTCATTACATAGTAAAATGTTATGATAAATAATATTATTGATAGGTACATATTAATTTCCAATGACAATGTTATGAAATGTGAGATTTAATATAGTATACGAGAACAATAGTTTTTATTACTTTGAAAATAAAATAATTATTTGTATTATGCTTTGAAACCAAAATGACATTAAAAGCAATAATGTATAGTGTATGTTGTATGCCCTACATGAAATGTACGTATACTATGAATTATGTCTTTCAAAGCATTTCTCTCATGTACTAATCCAAATTTAGAGTAAAGGGAAAATCATTAAAAAAACGTTCGAATACTGCAGTAAAGACGCGAACAGTATTTAAAATTCATAGTATACATATATCATTGTAAAAACATTAATGACATTACCGTATATTTCTTTATATTCTAAGAAATGTCTCCATAAGTTTGTTATAAATAAATAATTGAGTACTTAAAAATTACTTAGTATGTAAGAATAAGTAAAGCACAAAAAGCCTTGTACAGTTTTCTAATGATTGTTAAATAAATTGTTTAAAAAAAATATCTACAATACATGAAAACTTTTGTATTATCATTATTTGAAATTAAAATTTTATACATAAATGCAGCATATCATTAAAACAGTGCAATGTACAAGGCCTTTATTTGCATTAGATCTTCTGTCAGGGCAATAAAATGATTCATATTGAAACTTGCCACATTGTGCTATGCCCTGATATTGTATATATAGTATGAATAAAACATGTATGTTCATTTTAACTAACATTTATTTTCAAGATTCAGTTGACAACCAATCATTATCAAAATTATTTTTATTGATTAACATTTTATATACAAAAATTGAAATTTTAATAAAAAGATATATAAAATTATTTATATTAAATGTTCCTTGTACTATTATTAAAATTTCCCCTATTTGTTGATTCGTATTAAATTTTCATCTAAAATAATTTTGTAGGTTAAAAGTTTAGAATACCTTCGTAAGAGTTTTTTCCAAAACTGTAAAATATCCGACATCTTCAAATTATCCCACACAAAATCCCTTCCACGATATGCAATTTTCTTGGATAATTCGTCATTACTTTTTGCAAAGTGAATTAATTCCCTAGATGGATGAAAATGTACTAATGTTCATATCAGAATATTATCGATTGAAGTTAAAAATAATTAATGTCTCACTCTAATACTGTTCGATTAGCGTCCTTAGGAACAGGTATGTAATGAATCCAAGGTTTCATTGCATTGTAATAAAATTCAGTCCATTCATCTCCAACATGAAATATTAAAGATCGACACAAAAACAAGTGCTTATGTCTAAATGATGCTGCAACACCTCTATAGTTAAATAAATATTTATATTTGCAATGAGATTCAAAAGTAACTTCAGCAGCTGGATCTGCATATAATGTATCCTGTAAAAAAAAATTATATAACTTGTATGTCTATACATAAACGTACAAATAAAAAATGATTACTTCTTCGGATTTCCATGCTTGATTTTTAGTATATTGAGCATCTATTAAGTCTGGTTTACTTCGACTCAAGAGTATTAAATTATCACGCTCTGAACTTGTTCTAGAACCTCTGAAAAAACCTATATTTTCTTTTTCTTCCCATGGTGTGCTATTGCTAGCTCTATCTAAGTATATACGATGTTTGTCCCATCTTCCAAGACCACGGGGATATAAAGAAATTGCTGGACCACCTTCCCAAAATGCCCATGCTGGATATGTAATATCATAATATTGTTGCGTCTATAAATACATTTTGAAACACTCGAAATCTTTGACTAATGCAAACAATTAGTTAACGAAATATAATGGTTTTAAAGAATTACCAAGAATGAATTCCATAATACTTAGAGATTAATTATCAATTTCTTATTTACCTTACTAAATGAGAAAATAGGCAATGGACCACCAAAATGTTTGCTTGATTGAGGATAATCTCGTGTATTTATCACTAAATCCATATCTGGTAAATCAGGAGCCAATTGTAAAAGAAAATGCTCTATTCCAGCACATCTTGATGGAAACATGCAATCCTTTTGTCTATATACCTTTCCTTGTATTATCTGATAAAATGTGCCTCTGCAAGGACCATATAATTGAATTTGAGAAGATTTATCAGAGAATTTATAATTATTGCATACCTATTTTTTGCAGTATTCACTAGATCTCTATTTAAACCTTGTTCTCTAAAAGTTTTTAAGTCGAAAGTGATAACATCATTAAAGCAACCATTGTTTGTATTATTACATGGTTTGTAACTTGTTTCTGCTTTTTCAATTGCATGATAATACTTAACGTATTGTTCGTTAGCAACTGTAAAGACAAAAATATGTTAATTACGCAGCGTTAGAATGTTTAAAAAATATATGTATATAGATACCTTTCTTGTATAAATTAATTTCTTTCTCTTCATTACAACTTTCTGCACTGTCGATGGAACAATATTGTTCTTCGCAATAACCTAGCCAGACAAAAAAAACTAACGATATGTAACTCAATGTTAACATCTTTTTCTAAAAGTAGCGGCATGACAGATCTTGCATTATAAACAGAATAGCCGACATTTATCTAAAAGCAACTAGTGGAAGCTAGTGACATCTGGGACAACTAAAAAATTCCTTTCGTGAACAGCTACTTTACTTCAAATATTTTTAACTCTTGTTTTCAGTCATCAATACAATATTCAAGTTTATAGAAAAAGAACCACAAAAAGTTAAAGGAACAGGAGAAATAAAAGAGTAAACACAAAGGTTTTTAGGTTTTATTAAATTTTTATTAAATAAAAAATATATGTTTACGCCTGATCACCAGTGGGCATAGACTTTATAATATCAGAGTTTCCAGGATCTGTAATGGAAAGGGTGCATACACGGAAATACTTTCCACACGCAGTTCCCAATTCTATATTGTTTCCAATATAATGATGTACACCTGTCTTTGCCAACATAGCGTAGTACTCTATCTCAGATTTCCTGTTGAAAGAAAGAAACAAATATGTATAGACCCTGGTCTCAGATCTTGAATGTAAAATGTCTCTGCACTTACAAGCAGAGACGTGAGACTACTCCGTAGGACTCCCATTATGAACACAGAAATCGACATTAAAATGTATAAAATTTATATGGTATGATTTCAGATTTCCTTCGTTTCGTTTAATACTAATATTGATACGTGATTTCTGAAGGAGCACTACATCTCAGTCTCACCTTAGGGGAGGAGTATTATTAGCGATGATGACCAATTTCGCTTTGCCTTGCCGAAGAGACTTCAATGTCTGCTTGTAACCTAGGACGTATTTCCCAGATTTCATAACCAAAGCTAATCTGGTGTTAATACCCTCCTGGGACTTTTTCTGTTGAAGAAAAGGAAACAATTCACATAACCGCAATACTTACAATCACAGAATTGTTGTGTAAAAAATAGAACAGTATCCAAAAATCACATTAAATCAAATACTCATTGGAAATAATATAACATATTACACCGATACTGATTCGATTAAATGCATGAAATATTAAAAATGTTATAAGATTCTGAAGTTCGATCGAAAGAAACATTTCACGTGCACGGAGTCAATATAACCTTAAAAATTATAAATTTCGTAAAAGAGACTACCTTACTTTTAACAGTAGTTTTAGAATTGAAATCATGAAATTAATAGTTGTATACATAAATATTATTATGAAGCATTCTAAATGTATAGATGAATAAATGATTTTAATACGTGCTTCGAGAATTCTATGGAACACGTGCATCAAACAAAAATATTAAATTACCTGTTTCTTTTGGGCCACCATTTTTTATATTTAATTGTAGCTAGCGCTGAAAAGAATATTTAGAAAATATTTAATACTGATAAATATTTATATAAATTAAAGAATACTTAAATTTAAATAGGTACCTTGCCTGCACGCGTACTGCGACGGAACACGCTAGGACGTGAAAGAAGTCGAATATCTCGCAATGTGTCCAATTCGAGATTGCCACGAAATACAAATGACGTAGATCGGTACTTCCGTTAAATGTATTATACAATTTAATTCATTGATTTAAATATATTTTACAACAACATAACATGTTCATAATAAATGATTAATGTAACAGAAGACAATTACGATATAATTTAACAAAATCCATAACTTGCATAGAGAAAATTTGCGTGGATGGATGTATACTTTTAATAACTCTTATACTTGTTTAACAAGTAAAAATTATCCTATATTCTGGTATTTGTTAATTGTATATATTGTTATTTTATATGATTACGTTAGGGCCTTACTTGTAAATTCTCAATCAATTTTTTGTATATAGTAGTTTTGTAAATACCCCCCTAATGCTTGTAATGAAATCTTGTAACAGTGTGATATCATATCACTGATATGTAACACAAAATGATGAACAACCGAGCTTGTTACATTTATAAAATGAATGAAAATACATAGAAGAAAATTGTTTAAAATGAGAAAACGTTTTTGAAATCGATGCGATCAATAATAAGAAATGCAAGAAAAAGCAAAATGAAACCACGAAGTCGGGGTATTGCTTTGTAAATATGATAACAGATGCGAGCGAAATACTGCAGGTGTTATCAGAGCAGCTGGTAATTCAATGTATTTATCTATTCTTTTTTTTTATCGGGGTTTTAGTTTGTGTAAACGTCAAACAGTTCAGTCTTTCAAGCAACGTCTACGTTTTTATACCCGTACGTAATATCATAAAAGACTATAAACTTATGTTTTTTAATTTAAACATAAAAAGTATAACTCTATAATGAGTAACACATGTTATAAAATTGTTAAAAAAAATAGTTTATCCAAAAATGATAATTTTATATAAATGGTAATGTATTAAAATATTTATATAAAAATTACAAGTAATATTTACTTTCTGCATGTTTCAGAAATATTCACAGAATGGAACTTAAATGTAAAATACAAACTTATGACTGGGGAAGGTATGGTATTGATAGTACTGTTGCTACATTAATAAAATCTGCCAACTCGGATTTCTGTTTGGATGAAAAAAAACCATATGCTGAACTATGGATGGGCACACATCCCAATGGCCCTTCATATATAAAAGAATTAAATATACCCTTGGAGAAATACATCAAAGAAAATAGTGAGGTGCTAGGCAGTGATGTTAAAAAAATATTCGGTCAACATTTACCATTTTTGTTTAAGGTTTTATCTGTGAATAAAGCATTATCAATTCAGGCGCATCCGAACAAGGTATATGCACTAATATGTATTTTATGTAATACATGGTTAAATATTGTATTTCATCACAGGATAAGGCAAAACAATTGCATCAGCAATACCCTACTATTTACAAAGATGCAAATCATAAACCTGAGCTTGCAATAGCATTAACACCTTTCGAGGCTCTCTGTGGCTTCCGTCCAATTAGAGAAATTAAAGAATTTTTGAAAGTTCTTCCAGAGTTACGCGCTGTAATAGGAGAAGATAAAGTACTTAAATTTACGACAACAGACGAAATGGGCATTATTAAATCTTTAAAAACATGTTTTCATAGTCTTATGACTTGTGATCCTGGTCTAATAGCACTGCAGCTTAGGAAATTACTTGATAGATTGTCTAATCTGGGTAAGTTTTATTAATGATTGATTATGTATAAAAAATATTTTTATTTGTAATGATGAATGTAATTGTATTGTAATGTATTTTAATCCCTTGTCTTTAGATGAATCATTGAGGCAAACATTACATGCTAGTGTGTTAGAAAGACTGTACTCAGATTATCCAGGAGATGTGGGATGTTTTGGTATTTACTTTTTTAATTTTATAACAATGCAGCCTGGTGAAGCTATATATCTTGGACCAAATGAACCACATGCATATCTTTCTGGTGGTAAATATTTAATGACTTGTATTTTATTTTAATATCTTATTGTAATATCTTATGTATTTTAATAACATATGTTTACAGATTGCATAGAATGTATGGCGTGTTCTGATAATGTAGTCCGTGCAGGGTTAACTTCAAAACTGAAAGATGTGCCAACATTGGTAGAAATGTTAATGTACAATTGTGAGCCAATTTCTGCAAAAAAATTTCAACCTTCTCGTGAAGATGAATGCACAGAAGTATTTCGTCCTCCTGTAATAGACTTTGCAGTTGCTAAAATTACAGTGAGTCTTCTCATAGACAAATCTTTGACGAATTTTCAATAACACATATTTTACATATATTACACATATTTTACACATTGTACACATATTTTAGATACCTCCTGAACGATCGTCGTATAATATAATTCCTAGGAGTACAGCTAGTATCTTGATTATTATAAACGGAAAAGGTGAAATATCATCGTCTAAAATTCTTTATCGAGGCTCTGTCATATTCATTCCGGCAAACGAAAAAATTGGAATTAAAGTTTTATGTGGATGTCATCCAATGTTGATGTTTCAAGCCTTTGTAAATGTGTAAAGGTAATTACTAAATACTTGAAAATAATGCGGCAGATGGCAAAAGCAATGTTTGCACGCACAAAGTATTATTGCACTTTTAAATGCTTCTTAGTCTAAGGCAAGAACTGTTAAACTTTTAACTATATCAGTAGTCATACGTATTAGTCGTGAAGATAAATACGATCTACATAGATCGCTTGGAATATTATATTTTTACCAATAGATAAAAAATATTATTTCCATAGTAAGGCATTCCATAGTTTACATAAAAAATGCTAGGAAATAGAGTTGATGTTTCCGTATAATACTTCTCAGATTAATGCACGAGTACAATTAGAAACATTCCTCGTCTGTACTAGAAGCAAATATCATTTACAATTCCTGCCATAATATATGTATTATATATACTTTTAACTTTCACTATTAAATAGTACTTTTATATATTAGAAGGATCACAAGTTTCCTCTTCGTTATTTTATTTCATATTTAAAAACATACGTTTTTGTAATATACAATTTATAAAACTACAAAGACATAATTTTATTTCTCAGTATCTATAACAAAAGATAATGTGCAATCGACTCTAGTCAATTTTTATTAATTATTGCTTCGTTAATACTTTATCTTTGTTAAATACACAGAAAGATTTTACGTAATATTTTATTAAGCTAAAGTTACTTGCTTTATGATGTATAATGAAAATAGCAAAGAGGTTATGTAGCATCACACGTATAAACTTAAAGCATGATCATTTACAAATTACAATACAAAGCTAGCATTTACAAATTATCATTCCATAATGCCTTATTTATGAGAATAAAAGATTAGAGTATATGTTATTTTATTTCTATCGCGAATAAGATAGTGCCAGTTGAAAAAAATTGCTTTTAAAATATTTTAATGTATGTATAGAATATGTTGACTTTTATTTACAATTTAAGAAATATTTTAATATTTGTAACAACTGCGTGTTTGAAACAACACAATGCATTTTTTAAGGAAGTATAAATACATACTTTATAAATTTACAATTTTGTCTTACGTAACAATAAAAAGTTTCGACTGCTAATGTAATACAAGTAGTTGTTTCAACTGCTAATTGTATGTGTTCAGAAAATAAAGAGATAACGTGTTTGTTATAATCTTAATTTCTATTCCTTATTGACACAATGTAATCAAATCATTAAGAATGTAGAAATCTAAATTATTTGTCAGAAATGTCTAAATTTTGCACAGCCTCGAGATTAAAATCATACAAAATATTCTATTCCTAATTGCAATTCAATTGATTAAACAAAAAAGAAATAAGCGTATATACAAATATCATCAATTAATCATCATCCGACTCATCAGCTTTTTTTTGAGAACCTTCCGGTTTTTCCTCTTCTTTGTAATGTCGATACTCAGGCTTTAACTCCCACATATTTCTATGAGGATTTTTTAGATTATAGTTACAAACTTCATTTAATATCTCCTTTAAATATACCTAGTAATATAAAAGTATAAATATTTATTATAATCTATGTTCATTGCTGTCTGAGTAAGCTTTATTGGAAAAAAAAAGTACTTACAATTGGTTGTCTTGTAATTTTCACAAGATCTCTAATGTTATAATACTGATGTTTTTCAAATGCTGCAAACAACATATCCAATACTGCATCCTTATCATCTCGCATCTTTTTACCCTCAGCTTTCTTCTTCTCTGCATATTCAATCTAACAAATATATAATTTTATTAACATAACATTTTTATTTTAAGAGCTTTGCATAAAATACTCACATTATGTTTATGGTCAGAAACAGGCTTGAAATTTTGAACCACCCTATCCAATTGTTGAACCTGCCTTTGCGGTACAGAAGCCCTCTTAATGCTTTGTAATTTCAACTTCATGTAACAATTATCAGCTGAAAATAAAACATTCATGTATAAAGTATATCCACCAATGAAGGTTTAACTATTTTACAATGTAATTATTACCATATGGTCGACATTCTAATTTTTGTACAATTCTCCCTTCCATGTAAAGCTTTTCAGTTTCAGGAACAATAGAATCAGAGTTATTCGATGCTGGAAAAAATGTACATTTACTAAATCTATTTTCCAGCAAATCATTCCAGAAATATCTATAGAGGACTTACGCATAACATGAGAAAATACACCTAACATTTGTTTTGTTACTGTTGTAACATCTAATCTATGTTGTTTAGGAATTTCTTCTTCTCCGGCTTCTTTTAAGGCTAAGACAGCCTCTGATAATTTGAGAGATACCTCAGCCTTTTGACCAGGGTTTCTACCAATGAATATAAACTTTAATATTCATATGATACCATAACATTAAGACATCTAAACAGTAAACCCACTTAGTTATTTTTAATTTTCCAACTTCTATATTCCCAGGTGCTTTCTCCCATTTATTCGCGATATATTTAGGCACTTTGACTAGCCATACACCTCTGCCAGCGTTACTTAAATCTAATTCTTTTTCTGTGTGGAAAGAAGAAGTACTCGCAGACATGATTTATTTCTATCAATTTCTATTAAAGAACGATTGCTAAAGAAGTCGGGTGCTGTCTTGTGAAATAAAGAAGACTGTATTTACTTGCAATGGTTTATATATTTATATATTGTGAACTCCTTTATATTTCATAAAAATACTTTTAAGGAATGCAGAAAAACAAATGTCAATTATTCTCCCTTCAAAGGAAGCAATCTGGATAATTATTTTACAATTGTACTTTCTATCCGTATCTATGTTTATATCGAATATTTAACGTTTAGGTTACAATTTATACGTGTTATCAAAACGGTATTCTTCACGTAGAAATAAAGCAACTGAAGACTGAAAGCAACGATTTCAAAGCAATGATTGCAGATTTTCGAGATTGTATCGCCATTATAGAAAAATACATGAAATTCTCTTGCATTTTCATGATTCATCCAATGAGAAAATGAATTCTAGTAACATAATCCTTCGACTTATATAAGAATCTTATTGGTTCACCATGGTTAGGAATATTAGCTCCCACGTAGGGTGCCTAAATCTAAAACATTTATAAAGATCCATGACTGAACGCGGAACACTTTATAATATTTCCCTCGTTTTAGAAGAAGCTTAAAAATATACGCAAATGAAGTTATTACACCGCTGGTCGTATATTATTCCAAATAACACGTGATGTTTGCAAAACTAATTCGAATGACGCGCGCTTTTCATAGTGTAGCGATTCGTCATCTAGCGGTAAATATATCGAACTAAAATTCCGACCTCCGTTCAGCGCACCACCGGGAAAACGTACAAGCTTGTCCTCGAATAGTTCCTCTTTCCACTGCTAGATGGCGCAATTTACACGGTAATTTGCTCACACATGGTAACGTACCAACAGACGTCGGTAATTATGTGGGATTATTTATCGATTTTTATATGTATAATACTTCACATTGATAATTGTTTGTAATTGGGTTTGAACGTAGCAAATTTTAATTACGTTTTCTTGTATCACGCAATTCATTTTTCAGTTAGTAGCAATTATTTGTAACGTTACCTTAATAACCGTCATTCAGTTCACACGTATTTTCAATCAGCTCCTTGTATTCAAATTGTTAATCTTATTTAATTGTTCTTGTCAAAATAAATTATCATGTTGTTAAAGTTCGGTAATTGTTCATGTTCGTAATTCTTTTATGTAGAATCCCTACAATTACCATGTAAATGGCGCCATTTAGCAGTGAAAAAAAGAACTATTCGAGGACAAACTTGGGCGTTTTCCCGGTGGTGCGCTGTACGGAGGTCGGAATTTTAGTTCGATATTGAATATAGTTTGTATAATACTCAAAAAAGACTGAATTTATTCAAAAATATAGGTAAGGAAATAATAGAAGCCAACAACGACGTGTACAATCTTCTTAATGAAGGGAAAATCAAAATATACAAGGCTATATGTCATTTTTTTTAAGAGACTGGGTTAGATATATAAAAAATAGTGGACAATAGTGAGATACGAAGGGAAAGAAAGTACAAAGACTTTAGTGATAAGGTAAATTGATATATGATACCCGTCCAATGGTTTATCGGTATAATATACGTAGGGTAGGAAAATCAGAAACAGGGTAGGAATAAATGAAGTAAGGGCAGAGTGGGATGGACCGCTTGGGCACAGTCATGCGTAGAAATAAGATTAGACAATAAGTGTGAAAAGAGATAATTATGAATGAGTGTTATAGCGGATATACACGTACCATAATTCAACCATTCAGTGGTGGGATGAGAGATGCAATAGTAACGCACTAAAGTTTAATATAAGAAAACAAATGCAATATTGTTTAAGTCTAACGAGATATGTACTGTAAGGGTTACGTTTTTTGTACTCTAGTTGTATAAGACAGGTTATGTAAAATGAATTATATGATTTGTAAGAAAAGCGAAAACAGTCCGTTAAGGGCTAACGCTAAATAAAGCTATACAATACAATACAATTTTAGTTCGATATACTTACCGCTAGATGGCTACTCATTTAAGCACAATTTAAAAAAATATGTAGATTACTATTTTAAATCCATACATTTCATTAATATTAATTAATATGTTGAATAAAGTAGCTACAAGAGATGTAATAAAGTAGCTACAACAGCACAGCATGAAATGGATACGTTATTAAAATGAGCTGCTGTTTCATGTGATGGACATAATTTTCAAATATTAATAAAACATTGATATATTATAAATTTTATGAAATATTTATTATGCCGAAAGAAGTTTCTGAAATAGTAATATGTAGTATTAAATGCACGTATGTACTTTGTGCTACGTAATTTAAGTTTGTCACCCTTCTCACAGAATCGTAGTATATGCGTGTGTATACACGTATTGTTTACGATTTAAATTTACATTAAATAACTGTATGATCAAGAATTATTTATAACATTTATGAATAATAGTGTATCAATCTAACTGTAAGTTATCTCAATTTTATGAATAATATTTTTGAAATGTTCTGATCGAATATTCAGAATTTGGTACAAAACCTAACCTAACAAGTAGACTATTTTCACATTGAAATCGTTATAAGATCTGTAAAAATTACAATGGCATCGGCATGTATGGTTATAAGTCGTAAAATCTCCACATCGTCTGTTTGTTATGGGAAACGAAATTTTCGAAAATTTTTGCTTTATAATAAGCGAGGCCTACGTGAATTTAAACAAAAACAGGCGACTGATCCAAATTTTGAGATGCCGTTTGATAGTAAGAATTTCTTGTTCTTTAGCTTATTGTATAGGATCTCAAGTGTGTTTATACATTTATATACTTGATATTTTTAGAAAGGGGTGTAAGAGATATATATATAACAGATGGAGACGACAGAGTCATTGTTCCAGAAAAAATACCAGAGATTATTGTACCTTCATTAAAAGACTTTCATCTAAAACCGTATGTTTCCTACAGAGCTGGCGAAATTGAACAACGTCCATTTACAGCAAAAGATTTGTTTGACTTTGTGTATGCTGATAAAATTAAAAAAGATTTCGAAACTGGTCAGTTAGGACCAGATGGCGAACCATTAAATCCTAGCAAATATGAAAGTATGACACCTGAAGAAGCTAGACTACAAGCTGAAAAAACTGGCACAGATCTTTTTACAATGGAGATAGAAAAAGCTTAGATTGTGTTCAATATTAAAATTAATGTAAACATAAAATAAACAAAAAAATGATGATTAAAATTAACATTAATGGTGTTTAAATAAATTTAATATCCTATAACAAAGAAAATTTTATTATGCAGTCTGCATATGTTTTTATTTGGTACCTTTGTATGCGCAATGTATACACATGTTGACATTTTTGGAGTTCGCAAACAGTAATTACTTACTGTCACATTTGACAGTAAGAAAATAATGAAGTATACATATAATTTATCGCAAATGTAAAAAACAGACTTTTCGGTAAAAACTGCAATTTCTTGCTTTTTATTACTTTTGTATTACTCAATTCTTACAGAACGTAATTGAATACGTCACTATGTGAGAGTAAATAATTCCTTCGCGAATTACTTGCACACATTAATCTGATGATATATTGCCAAATAATAATATTGCGTATCATTGTCAACAATCATTTTTACAATGATTTTCGTTAGAAGTAAAAATATGTTTTGCAGAATTTATTTGTACACTGACAAAATAAATATCCTTACTAGTAAATCAATAGTACATATTCGTAAATAATAATCTATTTCATGCAACTTCGAGGATTATCATTCCAGAAAAGACATACGTAGATGTAAATACTTAACAATGCCAAAACTGATTTTCAATTCCTGAGGGTTTTGCTTACATGTTTCTTTTTTTTTGTTGAATGTCTTTTTGAGAACAATATGCCAGAACAAGATCTCGTATGGTTACACTAACTTAACAGCTATCTTTTTTTTTTTTACTTATCAAAAAACTTTTTGAGCGAAGTTTGATTGTTTTTTGTTGGGTAAAAAATGGCGGAAAATTTGAATATTAAAGTCGTTGTCAGTTGTGCGCGGCCGGTATTGCTTCCTACTGACTAGACTACCAGAATCTAATACGTATTTGCCTTGAAAAGTGCTGTATTCGTATCAAAATGTACAAATATTTCCTTATTATTGATTCGTTTTATTTTCACTTTAATTGTACTCGTGCGAGAAGCTCGTAAAAGCAGAATTGCTTAGTTTTTTTTTCGTTTCGAGTAAAATGATAACTTTGTACTAACATTTATGCGTGGCAATATTTACCAGTGACTATTAATGCAGCTTGCATTCATTTGTAAAGAAATCAAGACGCATACAAAATGTATAATTTAAAATGTAAACAATCATTACTTTTCATTCAAGACAGTGTATATAACAATTTTATTTAAACATCTTTACAGAATGCAGCACTTTGTTACTTTTTAAACAGCAGCTACTATTTATCGCTATTTATTATTGTTTTTATTTCTTTTTTTTTTATTAATTCCTATCCTGCTATAACCATCGTAATGAAGAGTGGAATGATAAAACATCTATTTTTGTACAACGTTATTGGAATGATTATCGATAAAAATGTATAATGAAAAATTTCAATGTAATTTGTTCCATTTATTAACTCCACTCTTCAATTAATTGCATAGTAAAGCATAAGTGGCATAGTTCTTGCATCTAGTCCCAAATAAACTTTATTTCAGTCGTTTCTACGAAGTGAAGATTATTGCGATTCTATCCCTTATGCTATAACATATGTATTTATAATTACTTGTCCTTAATTTGAACACCGATACTTTTCTCACTCTGCGACGATATACTCTCTAAATTTTATTCCGTTTTAAACGTTTCGTTAATTCGTTTGTTTTGAATGGAAGTTGTAGAACTGGTAAATTAACTTAGAGAATTTTATTCTTTGATTATATCGATTAATATACATATATTCGGGAAGCACATCAAAAGCACTCTTTGTTTATTATCATTAAAAATACGTGCAACTGTACGAGTTGCACTTCCAATTAAACGTAGTCATTGTAAAGCAAGACATATGCCACTTACTTATTAATATAAACTTGGTTGGTGTTTCCTTTTGTTAATTATCAGTCTATGATATAATTGGATATTTGACCGATAAAATCAGTCAGTCAATAAGGTAGGCGTATATGCTACTACATGACAAAGATTTTAACGATATTGTAAGTTCATTTTATGTACGCGAGGTTTATAATTTTTCCATGAATGATACACATGAATATATATATATAAATAGAGATGATAAAATTCGATGTTTGGAGTAGACAGTTTCGGAAAAAAAATTGTTCAACGATAATAAATCTTTGACATTTAGTAACACGTGCCTCCCGTCTAATCAAAGATTTTGCGTATGAAAGCTAGAGTATCGCCAAGGAAACAGTTCTACAAACAAATTTACACAAAGTTGTTCTTGGATACTTAGAAAATAGATATGATAAAATATGTAATTATATAAATAAAAATACTGATATGGAAAGACTAGGCAATACTGTTTATTGTATTTCGTGCGTCGTATCTAGTCTTTCAGACTCAAAATCTCCAATTCAATACTAAAAGTATAACAGGCTAGATGTTCATTCCATTGGATCCCCAACGTTTTCGAAGATGGTTGAGTGAGGGTTGCTTCCAGTGGGCCATAAAAAGCCACCTACACTGCCAGGTGGCAAATATGATGCTCCTCCACTGAGACCCACCTGATATATTGTCTTCTTTAAATTATTTACATTTTGCGTACAATTTTTGTGCTTAATATCTTTATTATGACATATCAAAAAATAAAATCTAGGAAGCCAAATAAGGGAAAGGTACTACAAATTATATGCATTTTTCAAGCTTGATGTTTTGGTGTTTCATATTGTATTGTTTAGGGAATTCCTTAATCACAGTTGTGCTCAAGTATGACAGAGAGTATTATTCTCTGGGATTACGACGGTGTATCGGTGCATAAATTAGTATTGTTGTTTGAAAAGTGTATTTAACAGGCAAATAGGTAACTATTCGAAATTATATTGCACAGTTATCAAAATGAAATTTTATTTTTTGTTTGTTTGTTTGTTCTCAGACATTCGTATTAACAATACGGGCGTGGTAATATACATTACAAAAAGTGGTCCAATCTGTTTCGAAAATATATAAATATTTTTGTTAACTGTACACATTAACGTTCAGTCGAGGATTGGTACATGCACGAAGTAAGGCAAATTAGAGTAAACAATAAACTGCCAAATTAAATAAAAATAATTGTTTATTTGCATCTAACACAAATAATTGTGCTATCGTATCACAAGTAACATCTAGTCACTAATGTCATAAACGATACTAATAATATTTACATCGATTCATCGTTGTGAACATGATACACGCTCACAACAATGTTAACATTATGAAAGGAACGGTAACGTAATACTCTGTGTTTGAGTTTGAGTATAGGTACACAATTCTGGCACGATTTAAATTTGCTTCAAAAAAGCAATGACGTCACGATCCGTCGGACAGATACCACCGAGTTATTTTTGCGTTCTTTTATTCCGGCCTGATAACTTTTTTTTTATTCGGCGGTTCAACCTAAACGATTTTTTAAATTTCTATTTATAGAATTACCTGTTGACTCCACAGCAATGTCCTTTCTGCCAACTGACAATCTGCTGCTAGTCGGGATGGCAGGCTTTTCCATCTTTCTTCGTCTCGTTTTCTTTCTCTGTCAAAGTCTCTGTCAACGTGTCCCTGAGATAAAGGTGGCAAGATTTGTGTTCTCTGAGCTAGTTTATAACTATCTTGTCTTGGTACATGATCGGCGCGTCTACCCGTGGTACTCGCTGACGATGGTATAGGAGTTGGGCTTCCACCACCCCTATGTCTATGATATAAATTTCGCTTCTGTTGCAGCATTCGCTGCTGCACTAACAATTGTAATTGTGTACTAGAGTCTCCACGAATTTTAAATTGCGATTGATTCTCAGGTGGTGTAGATGGTGGTCTTAAATGAACAAGGTCTAAATGACCCCTTGCCTTGCCTGAATCTGTAATGATAAAATCGAATTGCTACCACGCTGCAATGAAGAAACTTACACGATCGAGATATCCTGTTTTCGATTAAATACCTTGAATACTTCGCTGTTTGGTTGGTCTGTCTCCCCCACCTTGCTGACAAAACAGCAATCTGGGTCCACCATCGGATGCTCTACGTCCCTGAGAAACTCTTGATATCCTGCCAGTTATTGGTGACGGACTCAGAGGTGGTGGAGGGGTGCAAGATGGCAAACTACTTGTGAACGAATTTGCACCCGAATAATCTGGTGGGCAACCAGAGTCAAAACTAGACTCGAAAAGTTCGGATGATGAGCTACCGCTACCACCCGCAATAAATAATGCAGTTCGACTAGGAGGATCAATAGGATCCATAAGTGGGGTATCAAAATGGTGTTGATAATCACTTAATCTTCGATTGACTATCTGACTGTCAATTCGTTGACTGATATCATGATCTAGGCCTAGTCTATGCTCTTCAAGTTTAATCTGAGCTTCTCTCAACTCGTCACCACTTGGACCTTCTTCTAGATCACCTTCCGCGCTACAGCATCCTTCATCAGTCGAAGAACTAGTTGAACTAAACCTTTTTCCTCCTCGAGGTGTATCTTCTCTTACTCTAGAAACGGATACATAACGTATTTCATGTACATTCTGATTGTTTGACGCAGATGTTTATGATGACAAGGCTCTCTGACAATCTCTGAGAAGATAGAAACTACGTAATCTACATGTTGTTGATTTCCTGAAGGGGACCCAAGTAGTCCCGTCATAGGCGCGAATATAGAATGTTACGGAAAAGCGGAAAAAAATGATAAGTTTAATTATAAAAAATGAAATCCGAAGCTAAAGAAAAGCAATGAAATAAAATGAAGAATTACCAAAAATAAAGTGACACCAAAGTGTTTCCAATCCAACCTGTCCTGATAAAATCTCCAAATATGCATCACCATCAATAAAGATCAACGTTCCACTAAGCTATCGCTGTAAATAAAAATTAAAACGATTAAAAGTTAACTCTTTAGAAATTTTTCTGACTGGCAGGATTGGAAGTAAAAGAAAACATTTACGTCGCGTTACGTTAAATCATGTAAACAAAAGTTAGTGCAAAATGATAAAGTTTGATAAAGTGTTAGCGATACAAATTTACCTTGATTTAAATTTGTCTTCTTTCGATCTT